TAAAAGCATACACAACTGGAAAGCACTTTCTCCAGTTAGTATAGATGGAACTTTACAGCGAAGCAGTGCACTCTCCAGCATTCAAATCATACACAATTATAGGAGCAAAGGCTCTATACAGTTCCAAATTAAAGGAATAATCACACATCTAATGAGTTAACCCTGGTGTTCTGGTGGGGTGCTATAAGATAAAGGGCTGGACCACAAGGTCAGCTATACAGGGTCATTATGGATCAACACATAACAATAACGAGTCAACCCAAACCAGAACAGAAGTGTAGTCAGTAAATTTTTTAAAGTGGAAGAACAAATTTAAGGTTCTCTAAAATTTTGACTTTTAAAAAAATATGAAAGTTCAGGAAAAAAGTTATCACTTTAAGCTTATGTTTAGTTACCCATCCTAGAAAGGCTTTTGAGCATAGAATTGTGTTCTTCAGTGCTTTTTTTGTTGTTGAGTGCCGTGGAGTCAGTTCCAACTCATAGTGACACTGTATAGGGTTATCAAGGAGCGGCTGGTAAGTTTGAACCACCAATTAGAGTTCAGGAAAGCTTTACCTCCAGGCGTTTAGTATTATTGGGGGGGGGGGCAGGAAGAGAGGTGGGAGGTTGCTTCAAAAAGTTCATGGAAAAACAGAATGAAAAGATAATGGAATGCTTCCCAAAACTTTTTGAAGCCCCACATGTTTCTATGGTTATTCTCTCATAAAGTCAACTAAATCTTAATGGTTCTTTAGGGCTGACTTTGTGTGGGAGGAAAAACATCATAGGAAGAGAATACAGGTTTTTTAGAACCGGCCATTTAAGAAAAAATTATCATCTCAGTTAAGGGAGAGCTTGGGTATTCCATGGCTGTATGTAGGCAGGGATAAACTTGACGTCTAAAGTTTGGGGAACATAATACATTATTAGACAGACTGAATACTGAGTAAGCGCAATTACTAGTTATATAAGTGATTCAAAGTTGGGATTGGACAAGATATATGTTTTATAGATATTTGCTAATTATAGTTGGTGGTGGTAGTGGTGGTTATGTGCCGTGGAGTCGGTTCCGATTCATAGTGACCCTGTACAGGGTTTCCGAGGCTGTAAATCTTTATGGGAGCAGAAAGCCTCATCTTTCTCCTGCGGAACAGCTGGTAGTTTCGAACTGCTGACCTTTCGGTTCACAGCCCAATTAGTAACCACTACGCCACCAAGTACCATCAAGCAGGTACAGACTCATAGCAATCCTATGCACAACAGAATGAAACGGCCCAGAACTGGGCCAACTTCACAATTGCTAATTTGCTAATTAGTATATGATTATTAAAACTACTCTGGAAAGCACTGTGCTGAAACTGAATCTAGCTTGACTTGTAATTCTGGTTTATTTAACCTTTTCTGGGCTTTCTTTTCTATCTAGTCCAGTAACCTTTACAGGTATTTGCTAAAATGTCTTTTTAGCTTCTATTCCTCTACAGTTGCGTAGAAAGATAAGTAAAACACACAAAATGTTAACTACATAGTTAAATTACTAGAAACTTTTTACATATTCTCTTCTTTATTGTTGTTGTTGTTGTTAAGTGCCATCGAGTTGGTTCCGACCCATAGCGACCCTGTACAGGGTTTCCAAGGGTGTAAATCCTTACGGGAGTAGAAAGCCTCATCTTTCTCCCGCAGAGCGGCTGGTAGTTTCGAACCGCTGACCTTAAAGGTTCGCAGCCCGATTCGTAACCACTATGCTACCAGAGCTCCTTATACTAATCAGAATTTGGAAGTTTTCTATAAATAGCATGAGCTACTTCAAAATAAAGTCTTTCTCCTTAAATTTAGCTCTACAACCAAACACCATTCCAGGAAAGTATATCTGATGTAGTTTTCCTGTTCAATGTTTCAATTTTTTCTTTCCAATGTCTTAATATTTTCACCCTCTCTATTTTCAGTAACCAAAAAGTAACTCTGGCAGCAGACAATTTATCATCGAAGCTATTATATGGATGATGTTGTTGTTGTTAAGTGCCTTCACACATATGGATAAGGGAAAAAAATTATCTCCTTTCCAAGGAGACAGACCACATATTCTGGTGGTCTCTAATAATAATGTTGTTGTTTTGGGTGCCAATGAGTCGATTCCAACTCATGGTGATCCCATGTGTGCACAGTAGAGCTGTCCCATAAGACTTTCAGAAGCAGATTACTAGGCCTATCTTCCAAGGTATCTCTGGGTGGGTTTGAATTGCTAACCTTTCAGTTAGTAACCAAGTGCTTAACTGTTTGTGCCACCCATCTAATAATAATTTTTGTTGTTGTTAAGTGCTGTCGAGTCGATTCCGACCCATAAGCGACCCTGTATAGGGTTTCTGAGGAGCAGCTGGTGAGCTTGAACTGCTGACCTTGCAGTTCAAACGGCTTTGCCATCTGGCGCATTAACCTACAGCGCCACACCAGGACTCCATATAATAATAATAGTTGTATTCAAATACTTGTAAGGAGCTCTGGTAGCATAGTGGTTACGAGTCGGGCTGCCAACCGCAGGTCAGCAGTTCGAAACTACCAGCGGTTCCGTGGGAGAAAGATGAGGCATTCTGCTCCCATAAAGATTTACAGCCTCGGAAACCCTGTGCAGGGTCACTATGAGTCGGAACCAACTCCACGGTACTTAACAACAACATTCAAATACTTGTAGAAGGAAAAACAGAGTTATTGCATATAATGAAATCACCCAAGATAAAGCAGGCAACTGTTAAAATATTCTCCTCCAAAGAGAATTTCATATTCTCATGAAATCAAGACTTTCTGGATCCACTGAGGCCAGATGACTCCCTTCAAACTGTTAACTTCAGGAAATCTTTAAACTTTTAGCTGAAACTATCTCCTAATATAATCTTTGAACCAGATAATAGTTTAGCCTTAATATAAAAGCATACCTCATCCAATAGGCATGACACTATTTTAAACAACTAGCTAGGTGATGATATTGACAACAGCAACTTAAAAATATAGATGAGAAACTGGAGGGCTGTGAGTCTGTGTTAATGATGGTGAAACAGTTTGAAAAAAGTTGCTGCTAAAGGTGCCACAACTTGAAGAACATAACAAATGCACTAAACTGTGCATGCTGGAAATTGCTGAAGTTGAGTCTATTTTATTGCAAATATCTTAAAAAAATATTTCTTCCTCCAGATAGAAGTCATTCATTGTTGTATAGTTATAAAACGTGGCAATAATATATTCTGTCATTTAATTTTATCATGGTTATATATCACTTTTAGTCGTCATGTCAAAAAAAAAAACCTCACAGCCATCAAGTTGATTCTGACTCAGAGACCCTGCATAGGGTTTCTGAGTCTATAAATCTTTACTGGGAAAGACCGCCTTATTTTTCTCCCGTGGAGTGGCTGGTGGGATTGAACTGCCAACTTTGCAATTAGCAGTCTGGTTCTTATCCAACAGTGCCATGTAGTTTTCTATAACGCCTCTACTCCAAAAAGGTCCAAATATGCAGCTTTTGAATATGGCGTATAAGCTACTTCAAAGAAAAAGAGGAAAGCAAACCTTATTTCAAACACAAATATTAAAAATGCAATGTTTTACAGTAGAACAAGTACTGCAAGTCAAAAGCCCTGTTTCTAGTCCCAGTTCTGCCAGTAATCAGCTGTGTGACTTCCTGTGAGTCACTTAATTATGTTTCCTAAATTCTAAAGTGACTGTAAGTTAACAACAGGTACATTCATCTCAAATTTGACTCTGCAGAAAAGTGTTTTCAAATATTGTTTTCTAATAACAGCCCCATGAAATTATGTCATTTTGCCACATGAGACTAGTCCTTCACAGTTCTGTCAATTTGAATGACAGTCTGGATCCCTTAGGTTGTACATTCAAGATGCACTTTGGAGAAAGAGAGACTGAGGACGGATTATAAAATGGGATGGAGGTGGGCAGGTGAGGGGACTGATAAAAGGGTGCATCTGTACGCAGAAGACGTTGTTGTTAAGAGCCATTGAATTGGACCCGACTCACAGCGACCCTGTATACGGTTTCAGGGATTGCAAATCTTTATTGAAGCAAAAAGCCTCATCTTTTGCCCACGGAGCGGCTGGTGGGTTTGAACTGCCGACCTTGTGGTTAGCAATCCAGTGCTTATCCTATAGTGCTGCCAGCGCTCCTAGTCACACTTCCATCAGGAGCTCTGCTTACTAACAAGAATCTTACTTCAATACGGCGGAGTAGGTGGTGGTGGCTGGCTGTTTGCAGTAGAGACGGTTCCGACTCATAGCGACCCTGTACAGGGTTTCCGAGGCTGGAGAAACCTCATCTTTCTCCAGCGAAACAGCTGGTAGTTTCGAACTGCTGAACTTGCGGTTCGCAGCCCAATTCGTAACCACTACGCTACCAGAGCTCCTTATGGCGGGGTAGAGTACGGAAGATCTGAGGGAGGCTTTGAGCCGAGGTTGTCAGGTAGTCACACCCATCACCCTGCACACCCAGTTTTTCCTAGTGGACACCAAACCAGTCTCCAGTTCCGGGTTCCCGACCAATCTCATCAAGCCACAACAGAGGGTTCTGCCAATCTGGGCACCGCTTCAGGGCTCTACAGTGAAATTCACACGACCCCAGCACCTGTCGATTTCACACCCTTCCCAAAGGGAGGGGGTGGGTAACAACAGTGAGTAGGTCTATCCCCCGTCCTTTCAACTCGGGTCACCACCAAGTCCAGGAACTCTCCAGACTGAAACAACCCCCAGACTCCGGAGGATAGGGGTAGCCCCTCCGCGATGGCCCTCCCATAAATTCTTCCCCAAGAGCTATTTCTCCTGTCTATAGGTCCCAATCCCCGGTCGTGGCTTCTCAGGCCTCGAGGGTTCCGGGATGCCGAGAGTGGGGTAGCGGAGGAGAGTGCACTACTCGCCACCGGAGGAAAAGATAAGACAGCAGGGCAAGGTGCAGCGACGTTCCCCCAGGCGAGGGCGGGAGGCCGTCTGTGAGTCTCTCGAAGGTCTGTCATTCCCTCACTCACTCACCAGGAGCAGCAAGGAGCATCTGAGGTCGGGTAAGGATAGGAAGACGGCAGGTTTCATGGTAGGCAGCGTTGGGGTCCGCGGCAGGGACAGGTGCTTGTAGCTGGGGCTGGGTTGGGCTGGGAAAGGGCTGGGCTCCGGGAGCCGGCGGCAGCGGAGGATTCTCCCAGCAGCTGCACCTCGTCCTCTCGACCCGGAGCTCCAGCGGCGAACACCGGGACAACTTCCAGCGAGGCCCCGCACATCCTCACTTCCGGGTCCTGTCCACCTCGGAACTCACCGGGAAATGTAGTCCTGCGCCACTCTCACCCGGCAGGAACAGTGAGCAAGTAGAACTCCCTTTCCCGGCAGGCTCTTGGCAGAGGTTCCCCCAAGGCCTCTGCGCGTAGGGCCTTGTGGGATAGGAAGGGCTTGGGGCGGGTGTACCTCTGCGTTCCAGAGGATGAAAACTACAATTCCCAGAAGGCTGCATGTTTGAGAGCCTTGGGCGGCCTTCTCAGGGACTCTACTGGGTACAGTGCGGTGGGGTCGATTGGAACTCTGTGTGATTGTCTTGGCCTGGCGGGAGGGGCGGCCCAGTGGGGGTCGTGCCTCCCGGAGCCGCCCCCGGGACGTCAGTCCTGGAGGAGGCGAGGGTGAGTAGGAGGGATCTGGCTGGGGAGACTCCGGTGGGACTGTGCCGCCGTGGTCTCTGCTTCAGATTGGCCCTGCTAGCTTGGAGCCTCCATCACTAACCTCCATCACTCGCCTGCTGCCTCTAATTTCTGCGCTAATTCTTACCTTGTAAAAACGTGGCTACCTCTTAAGGCACCAGTGGATGAGGTCCTGTTTTCCTCTATGGGTTCGTGTAAGGAGCAGATACCAAAAGGGAAGGGAAAGCACGTTGTAAACTGAAAACTGCGAGAGTGTGATTGTTACTTAGGCAAGGATCACTTACAGATAATTATCAAAATCTTCAACAAGGATCTTATCTTGGCCCCAGGGTGCCTTGCTATCCTCAACTGCAAACATCTAGACCCTCGTGCCCTAAATGTAGCCACCCAATTGCAATAGCTAAGTAGCTTGAAGCACTTGACCTTTTGGTTCTTTCTCTACTCCCTACCTTATTTGCCCAAGAATTGCTGCTGCCATATCAAATGTTAATCATCTCTGACAACTTCCCAACCCACCAACCCTTTAGTCCTAATCAACAATAGTCTCTTTGCATGTGAATCCAGCTTCTTTAGTTTTGTACAGTTGTAATTAGCACTGTAGGAGAAGCACTAGACCACAAGGTCGGTTTGAATGGTAAGGTCGGTGGTTCAAACACATCAGCCGCTCCTCAGAAACCCTATATAGGTTTCCTCCTCGGAAAACGCTGTAAGACTCGTCAGCACTTAACAACAATGTTTAAGCATTTATGATTCTGACTCGTTTTACAATTAGTGATGATAACTTTGAATTTTATAGCACTTTATGATTAACAAAGTGGTGTGATTTTCTCCTATAAACATTATATACAAAAATATTTGAGCTAAAAAAAATTTGAACTTTAAGGATCCTAGAAAATGTTTTCCCAAGACTGACAAAACTAGATATTGGCAGAGCCAAGACACTTATATAGGCTCTTAAAGTGTTCTGGTCTACTCTGACAGAGCCCATGCAAAGTTAACATGGGGAATGAGAAAGAGCAAGGAAAGAATGAACTTATTGAAAATTAAACTTTGATCCTACTCACCCTTTGGACTTAGCACTCAGCCTATGACCTTTCATTCAACAAACATTTACTGAGCACCAGTGATAGATAACACTTGTTACTAAGCCAAATGATGAGACTTACAAGGTTAAATAAATACAGATTACTGAGATCTGATTTCTAATCTGTTTTCCAAAGTGTATAGAGTTTTTGTGACCCTGAATGCTTAAAATCCTGGTTTAAAATGACTAAAGGTCTTAGAGTTTAGACTGTCTAGCACATATTTGACTGTCAACATGAGTGAATGAACATGGTCACCCTCGTCATTTTTATTTTTTACAGAAACCTGATAGCTGAGGGGGGATTCCTCGTGGCACAGTAGTTAAAGCACCTGACTTCTAACCAAAAGAATTGGCAATTTGAACCCATCAGCCACGCCACTGGAGAAAGATGTGGTAGTCTGCTTCAGTAAAGATTTACAGCATTAGAAACCCTATGGGGCAATCCCACTCTGCCCTGCAAGGTTGCTTTAAATGTGCTTGATGGCAGTGAGTTTGATTTGGTTCATTTAGTGAGCTGAGGGAACCTCAGAGCACACTACTTGTTGTTAACAGAACTGGGCCAGGAGCCCAACTACAATTGTTTCCACCTCTGCCTCTGTTTCTTTCAAGTGATTTTAATATAATCCTGCATACAACAGTGGTTTTTTGAAATCTCTGGAACATGTCAGAAGTATCTGACACCACCCTCTTCTTCCATATTTTCTGCCAACATGATAACACAAGTTGTCAGCAAACTAGAGACATGAAGAGTTGACCTTTACCATAATTAAGAAAATACCTTTTCTCTTAAGACAGTATGTGAACCAATAATCTTTGTCAATGACAACACAAGTACTGGCTCATCAGTGCTTCTTGGTGAATTCCCTCATGGCAGCAATTAACTGGAAATGATAGAAAGCGGTTCTCTTTGTATAGGTATATATCCCAGTTAGCCAGGCTCTCTGTGACTGGCTTTCTTATACCTCCATACTCTTGTAGGCATTCAAACTTAGAATTTGTGATATAGCTTCTTGGATTTGAGGAGGATGTTTAAGATCATTCATACAACTGCAACGCTCTCCTCTCTATGAGATGCTTGAATTCATGTGAAAGTAGTGATACAATCCAACCTCTGCATAGTGAGTTCATGACAGGGAACTCACTATTTTCCTATGCAACTACTAAATTTCTAGAAGATTCCAACAAACCATATTAGACAACCAATCAGAATAAAATCTTACTAAATGAAACACAGTTAACCTTAATGAGGCAGTGTTTTAAGTAAGGTCCTAAAGACAAGATCTCAAGCTAGGTAGATTTCCCAGGAGAGGACAAATTAAAATTCTGCCTCTCATGGGCATGAGAAAAAGAACTAGGTAATATTTTGTTTGGCCATTAAATCTAATTGGCTTGACAAAGTGAACAGGGCCATTTTTATGCCTTGATCATCATCTTAATTCCCAATATCAATTCTGATGTTTAATGTTATTAGGAATCAAATCGCCTCTTATTAGAAATCACTGAGGCTCTTAAGCCCTGTGTCCAATATTAAATACTTTCTCACTAGGCCTTGAAAAGGATCTTAGAACCATCTAACATTCTCATTGTATACATGAGTCACTTGTGTAAATTTGCCACATTTCAGTTCTAGGACTAAGATTATAGAGTTTTTTTAATCCTACTTAAATATCTCCAGAAAACTATATTGGTAACATACCTAGCATTTATTAAGATCTGACAAACCAAGTTTCAGAAAATACCTCCTTTACATACTCAGTGTTTGAATTGTAGGTTGCTCCAGTGCCTGAAAAGACATGAACAGGTCTGAGAACTTGCTGTTGACTGGTTCTTCATTAGCATCACAAGTTCACGCTGCTGCTGTTAATGGAGATAAGAACTCTCTTCACAGACTCCTCATAGGTAAGCAGTTCCCTTAAACACCCACCTGCCCACTGCTATCTAGTCAATATCAACTCACAGCCACCCTATAGGACAGAATAGGAATGCTCAGTGGGGTTTCCCAGACGAAATCTGTGTGAAAGCAGACAGCCTCGTCTTTCTCCCATGGAACAACTGATGGGTTTGAACCTCCGACCTTGTGGTTAGCTTTACGATGTTTAATACACGGTGCCACCAGGAATCCTTTCCTTATATACAGGAATTTAAAAAAATAATAAATTCTTGTCCTCAGGAGCTTTATTCATCGTAATTTTAATTTGCAATGTACACATTTTAATGGAAATATACTTGTAATTTGTTCCAAGATTTGCACAAGAAAGAAGTTTAATTCTGAACTTAAAAATATGAAGTAGGATTAGGTGAGGGTAGTTGAGGAATAGCTATATATTTTGCACTAAATCTTGATTATGCTAAGAGAAGGAATTGATCATCGTAATAACAGATCTAGAATGAGCTGCAGCTATATAATAAAATGTTTTCCAGGAAGCATAACTTAATCCCTAATGAAACTGATATAATAGAATTAATTTCTGGATGTCTTTCTTTCATAACATTGTCTTCATGGAAGATCAAAAGTCCTTGAATTTTAAGTGTTTTATAGTTTTAATTGAGCATGTGTGTGGCACAATCCTATAGAGCACAGCTCTACTCTGTCACACACGAGGTCTCTTCCATGAGTCAGAATCTACTCGATGGCAACTGGTTTGATTCAGGGTTTAATTTTTTTAAATAGTTTTAATTGTGAAATATATTTAAATTTATAAAGGTACAGGAAATAAAAAGTTACATTCATAAATCAAATATCCATGCATACTTGTACCTGTTTCTAGGTTTATTCTTTTTCATTGAGCTAATTGTGTACTAAGGAGCTCTGGTAGCGTAGTGGTTATGAATCGGGTTGCGAACCTTAAGGTCAGTGGTTCGAAACTACCAGCTGCTCCGTGGGAGAAAGATGAGGCTTTCTACTCCCATAAAGATTTACACCCTTGAAAACCCTGTACAGGGTCGCTATGGGTCGGAACTGACTCAATGGCACTTAACAACAATAATTGTGTACTATACCAAGATGTCTAGATTATTAACAATTCATATACTAGTGTCTGTTAGAACAGGTCCTCCTGCCTCATTCTTCTTCCTTAGAAATGTCTTGGCTTTGTGTGGCCCTTTGCATTTATATATCTATAAATAATCTGTTGTTGTTAAGTACTGTCGAGTTGGTTCCTACCCATAGCGACCCTGTCTAGGGTTTCTGAGGAGCGGTTTGTAGATTTGAATCATCAACTCTGCAGATCAAACCAACCTTGCAGTCCAGTGCATTATCCTGCAGCACCACACCAGGACTCCATAAACAATATAGTAGACAATTTGCACAAATGGGCATGTATACCTGTAAAAATTCATCAAGATATATATGTAGAATAGTGAATAATTGCTATCAGGACTGATTGTGAGGGTTGGAAATGTAAAGGTAGACATTTTATAGCAAGGAAGGGAGTGAATAACTTTCCAGCCTAGGAGCGGAGGTCCCTAGGACCATCAACGGAGAAGAGCCGAGAGTGGGACTCTACCCAGAGAAGCAGTGATGCCTGAGATGGAGGCAAAGACGATGACGTGGAGCAATGGTGCAGCTGGGGACTTTAGATCCAGAGAGGGAGAGCGACTGTGTGCCAAAGACTGGGGGGTTGGGGGGAGTGGCGTAGGGGGCAGGCTTGCAGGGTATACCCTTTGGTTGGTTGATGATGCATGGAGGGGATTGTAACCATGGCAATGATATGATACGATTTACGATAGAATGAATGTAAAACTAATGTTCTCCCATGTAAACTATCATATAATTCACAATAAAACACTAAAAAAAAACAAAAAAGAAGAAGATATAATATATGTAGAAAGATAGAGAACAACATCTAGATGTAGAACATTCCCAATACTCCAGAAAGGTTCTTTGTGTACCTTTACCACGAATAGTCCTCCCCCAGCCCTAATCCCAGCCCATTGTGTTAATTATCACTGTCTTGTCTCTCAGCTCTGAATGCTCTTGGATGAACAGAATTCCTTTAAGTCTTTCTTCTTTAAAGTAAACATGGTGCTACGCTTAATCTGTTTAGGGTGCTAGAGAGACACAGGAAGAAGAGGCTGTCCTGCAGCTTTTCCGTGCATGATGGAGGGGGTGGTGTGGGTGTAAAGACATCTGTAGAGCATTACTCTAGCCAGGAGCACAGAACACAATATCTGTGTGACCTTGCAGCATAAAGGCTCCTGATAACCTTATCTCAGCCTTTTCGACATAGGAAAGCAGAGCACTGTGTGGCCTGCTCACTCTGAAGGCCTCCATACTTCCACTGCATGCCCACCAACCTACTCCCCTAGCTACACGTGAAGGATGGCCTAAATGCCTGCACCCAACTCCACACCAGCTCCACCCTGACCAAACCAACAAACTACTCTGCTATCCAGTGGGCTGAACCATACCATCTCCAGTGAGGTCTGAACTCTCCTTCCATGTTTGCCTTTCCTGGAGTACTCGTCTTTGCCCTAGGGTATCATATAGAATTTTTAAGTGTCTTATGGATATTCTTCAGCATAGTTAATAATTTTTTATATTAAACAGCTCTTGCTCAACCTACTGTGTGGTTTCTCTCACCTGACTGGACTCAGATTGCTCCCGACACACACTGGCACACATCCCGATACACATGGGTATGTGCACATTCCCACAGAAACCCTCTATTTTAACTTCTGTCAGCACAGGTTAGTTTTATCTGTTCTGGATCTCCATGTGAATGAAATCATATCATATACAGACATATGTATCAGACTTCTTTTGCTCATGCTATGTCTTTGAAATGTAGCCCTGTTGGTTTGTTTATAACTTTTCTTCCCTTTGTAGCACCTCAGTGTTTGATTATTCCACAATTTATTTTTCCATTCTCTGTTGATGTACAGTAGGATTGTTTCTCATTTTGTGCTATTAATAAGTAAGGTTGCATTTGTGCTATTAATAAGTAAGAATGTTCACATCATTCTTGTACACATTTTCTGGTGGACATATGCACTCATTTCTCCTGAGTCATATGCCTCAATGTATGTGATGTGTATAAATAAACTTAATTTTAGAAAGTTTTAGATTTACAGAAAAATTATAAAGATAGTACAGAGTAGCCGTATGCCCCTGCAAGTGAAGGCCATGTCTGACTTCCCCTGTTTTCCCAAGAGGAAAAGAGAATCAAATGCAAAATCAGCCCAAGGCCGATTATTATGAAGTAGAGTCAGACATGCTTCTACCCTACAACCTTCTTTACTCTATTCTGACACCAACCATCCCTCCCATAGCTCCGTCTGCTTTGCATCCAGGTTCAATCATCCATTGAAATGATCACACAGAACTCATAACAATACTCACAATTATGGAGTTTCTTGGGGAAGTGAACAGGGTCAAAAACCAGTTCTACAATCAGGAACACCTCTTTTCTTCTCTATTCTGTAGACAAGCCTCGCTGGTGTCTTCAGCTTCTCAGCTATGTAGCCCCTTGGCCTCTGCCCCAGTCCATGGACCTAGAGCCCGCAGCTCTCTCTCTCTGTGCCACCATCTCTGCCATTGCCTCTGCCGTGGCTTCTGTCACTGCTTTTCTAGGTAAGGATCTCAACCTCTACTCCTGTTCTTCCTTCTTGATGATTCCGGGATCTTCCATTCCCGCTTCTGAGCTGACTCCTTTTAAACATAGCTGGAGGGCAAAACTAACCAGTCTTGTTGTTGTTGTTGTTGTTAAGTGCCATCGAGTCGGGTCCGACCCATAGCGACCCTGTACAGGGTTTCCGAGGGTGTAAATCTTTACGGGAGTAC